TCTCCCCTCGCTCCTCAAGTCAGTAGCCGAGCTGGCAGTAGAGTTCCCCAGGCTTATGGTGCTGGGGGATTTCAACTCGCCTTCGCTCGGCGAGCACTCGGATGGGGCGCAGGAGTTCATGGCTTCCATGACAGCCATGGGCTTGACCCAAGTAACTCAGGATTTTAAGTCCTGAGATATTATAGAACCTAGAAACTTGAAGGTCTTTACCAGGTGCGTCAAACTTGATTTCATTGAGGGCCACATCGGTGTTGGGGACATCTGTAGTGTCGATGCCTGTGGTAGCCCAGGTGCTCTGCCAGTGAACAGGGGCTCACGAGCTCTGTTTTGTCCTCCTGCAACTCTCTGCCAGTGAAAATGGAGCTTTCACAACCCCCCTTTTCAGCTGGGATGGTCTTCTTCTTGTCAAGGCCTTGGTCTTTACTATCAAAACTGTGTAGTCTAGTATTGCAAGTGGTGGTAGAATAGGAGGGCTTCTCCTAAAATCTATTATTTCAACAGTTTTGTGTATATTCAGTTCAAGATTGTTCCGATTGCACCATAGGGCTAGTTGTTCAACAAATGAGACCAATCGCAGAGGGATCCTTTGAGATGCAGTCATTGGTATAGAGAGAAAAGAGTAATGGAGAGAGCACACAGTCCTGGAGGGTACCTGTACTAATTGTGCAGGTATCTGATGTGATTTTGCCTAGCTTCACCTGCTGCTTTCAATCTGTTTGAAAGCTTGTGATCCACTTACAAATGTGGTCAGGCACAGCTAGCTAAACTAGTTTAGTGAGAAGAATATCTGGAATGATGGTATTGAATGCTGAGCTGAGTCTACATAAAGGATCCTTGCATAGGACCTTGGAGATTCAAGATGTTTGATTTGATTGCAGTCTGTGAGATGATAGAGTACACACATACTGATATGTTTTAACTTTTCATACTTCATTTTTAGTAAGTATATAGTGGAGAGAGGAATAGCAATTCTTCCACGTACTGTATGCTGCTGATATCAATTTCTTTTTGACTAATCTTAACTTTGACCAAGCCTCTTTATCATGTATCAGTCTATATGTTTTTGTCATTGTGCAAATAGACCCTGGATCCATATAACAGACCCTGGGCAACAAAGACTCAAAATGAAGCAAAGCAGGAAGTCACAAAACGAATTGACAAAATACCTTTTCCAGCCAAAGGTATGCTGCCTATCTTACCTTTAGTTGCTCAAAACACAGTCACAGGGCCAATGTAAATGTCAAGCAGTGTGCAATTTTGATTGTTATTTATTTATTTATTTATCAAACTTAGTTGTTGCCCATCTCAAGATTCTGGCGACTCTAGATTTTTTTCTAATTTTTAAGATTTTTTTTTCTTGATTAATGCTTTACTTCAGAAGTAAATAGCAGTGGAAAAGAAATTTATATTTGATCTCTATACTGGTTGAAATAACTGTAATAAGGAATGATGGACAAAAATAGGTTTTTATTTAAAATGTCAGATCAGATTATTCTAACAGGAATTGTGTTTAGGATCCACAGTATATTTTTCTGATAATATTTTAATTGCTGCTTTGTGCTTGCTAAAATTACATTATTTTTTAATCAATTTTTGTGATTGAATCTTGCGGGTGGGCATTTTAGGTTCTGAATTTCTTATCCCAGTCACTGGATATTACTGCCAACTCTGCAGTGAATTCTTTGGAGACCAGATATCAGCAGAACAACATGTCAAAAGTCATCTACATAATGAGAAATATAAGGTTAGTGTCCAGAATATTAGTTTCGTATAATTCATTAGTGCATATCATAATTAGTGCCATCTTTAAAAAGCTATTTTGTTCCTCTTGACTTCTGTTAATGGCAAGGTGGGACAAAACCATCTTTGCCATCTCTAGGTATAGGTGGGGCATGGTATTCTCTTAGGGAGTTATTGCCTACAAGTGCAAACTGTGCTGAAGATTCAGAAATATGATTTAATATAAAGCATAACTTTTGAATGTGGCTTTATTTCACTTTTTAAATATTTATTTTGCTATCTGGCAATTTGTCTTTTTCATTTTGTTAGAAATATCATCTCAATATTCTTAACTTAGTAGAAATTCAGAAAGTTTTTAATGTTTGACTTGTGCTAGTTAAATGTAAATTCTGTCATCTCTCCTGCCTCTTTCTCAGTAAATACAATTAATTCATCAGGTAGTGGAATAAGAAAGAGAATAAATTAAAAATCCAGACTTAATTCCAGTAGATAATTGATGCATTAAGTAACAGTGCTGAAATGTTTCCTTTCATCCCACAGAAACATGTGGATGAGAATCCTCTCTATGAAGAAAGGCGGAATCTGGATCATCAGGCAGGATTGTCTGTGATTCAGGAAACTGAACGCAGACTGAGACGGAAACTCTGTGAAAAACAAAAAGAGGAAAAAGATGACAAGACAACAAAAACAGCAAAGAAAGAAGAAACAAAGAATATCGAAGAACTAGGAGATGGGAATAATGAATGTGAAATTAGTAAAAGGAAAGAAATCTCTAATGGTGAAAAATGTGGGATTAAACGTAATTTGAAGAAAGATGACAAAGAAATGGAGAAGAAGGAAGAAAGAAAAGAGGAATATGAAAAGGAGTCAAAACTAACCACTTTTGGAAAATTCAGTTGGAGAAAGAGTGAGAGAGATGAAAAAACCCAAGGGAAAGATATAACTGTTTTAAGAGAAGAGAGCCCCGAGGAAGGTAAAGAAAGTAAGTCCCAATCTGGAAAGCAAAATTCAAAGCCCATTGCAATTAAATTATCTGGAAAAACCGTCATTCCACATACAAGCCCCTGGACACCAGTTGTTTCAACTTCATCACAAACCAAAATCCGCCCCAATTTACCAATCCCAGTGATGGTTCTAAGGAAGACTGCGGTTACAACAGTAAGCAAGCCAGCACCCCTAAATACTTTTTTGTCTATAAAATCTTCTGGTACCTCTGCCAAACCTCTGCCGGTTGTCAAAGAGGGGAATCCAGACATTGTTTTGGCACCAGATATTATATCAAAAGCATTTGGGGGAGAAGTAGTAGTTTTAAAGGGATCACAGGAGGATATAAAAGATACAAAGGAAGAAGCAGAGGAAGGCAAGCATGAAAGTGAGACAAAGGCTGTGGAACATACAAATGTAACAAAGGCCCAAGAGCATGCAGAGGTAGTGGCAAAAGCTCAGGCAAAGGCACGGGAGCTTGCAGCAATGGTGAAAGAACAAGAGGTCTCACACATGACAAAAGCAAAAGAGCAAACTCTTGAGAGGCCACATAAGCGCCCTCCTCAACTGTCACTGCCTCCAGCACCACCACTGTCACGATCTGTACCGCAGGCACCACCAACAGTATTTGCCCCTCAACCCCCTCCGCCACCAAAACAACTGGTTATCCTGGCAGATGATATGGCACCCGGTGTATCTGAGGATGATAAGAACATATTGGAAATGCCCATGTGTCCTCGCCCCTTGCCACCTCGAGCTGTTTTTGGGGAGCATATTAAAAAATTAAAGAAAAATAACTCTTCTCTGGCTGCAGGCAATGCTAAAGATCTATATGACATTTTTTACAACAATAGTGGGAGGAATCCAGCTGAGAGCAAGCTAGTGAACTCTGCACTTTCAGAAAAAGGAAAATTGTATCCTACCGAGAAGGAGAAAAATACAAGTCTACAGGTAAATTCCAAGCCAAGTTGTAATCCTTTTTCAGAGGAATCGGTTTGCAGTGTGTATACTTCCTCGGCTAAGAACCCAGAAACAGAGGAAGTAAAAGATGAGAAAATGATGACAACTGATGAAATTATTGAAATCAAAACCAGTGTTGAGAGGGACCTAGAAAAAGTCTCCTTTTTAGATATACAATCTACATTGTCAGACGCAGATGATTTAGCAAGAAGTACCTCTTATCCATTCCATAATGAGGAAGAAGTGGGAATTCCTGTTCCATCTGACTTTAACAAGAAATCATCTAAACCTGAGAAAAGTGAGTTAGCTGTGGAGATAGAAAAAATGAGCCCTCTTCCTTTGGATAGCTTTACTGAGCCATCTGTCATTCTTGAGACAGCAGAACATGACATTTCTAATGATCGATCCGACACACAAATCTCAGAAATCTCTAACAATCTTCCAGAAACTATCTCTGATTCTGCGCAAAATGACAGTTATTCTAAAGAATTATCAATTGATCTAAAACAAGACACTAATAGTGGGAAAAGTCCTCAGCCTTCAAAGGTCCAGTATTCAGATTCAGAGCTAAACAAAGTTGAATTAAACTCTTTCTGTACAAACAATGAACAAGAGGATTTTAATGGTTCTCAGTTAAAGGATGGTGAGGATTTCAGTGTAGTTAACGTTCTAGAATCTGAAGATATTACAAACGAGAATTTTGTTAATTTAACAATATGTACCACAGAAGAGAATCATGAACAAATCGATCCATTCCCATTAAGCTGTGAAAGCAAGGAACTCCAAGTGGTAAAAACAGAAGTGTTGGATAGTATTTCTTCTACAAATGAAATTAAACCTAATTATGTGGAATTCATGTTTCTAAAACATGACAAACAAAAATCATCTGCTTCTGATTTGGAATTAAGTGGCACCGAAGGAAGAAGAACTATGGAAACAGAAAGTGCTAATTTTCCAACACTTCAGCCAGAAATGAGCCAAGAATCACTAGATCCTCTTCCAACAGAAATCAGTATTGGGCATCTTGGAGAGGTGACCCTTTCCTTCACAGATTTGAGTACTGAAGTATTGCATACCCCAACAGCTGATAATTTTGACCTAAACAATACATATCCAGAACTTAGTTTTGAACAGTCTACTACTTTTTCTCTGGATTTAGAAAATGAAGGAGTCTCTCCAAAATCTGATGAAACAAAGGCTATGGATTCTCCCAGACTGAAACCAAATTTGGAATTAGAAACCATTGATTTCACTCTGGGAAATATTACAGTGGAACATGAAGTGGTGGATATTCTGCCAACTGAAATTTTAAACGAGGACAATGCAGACAGTCCAAAGTTAGAAATGGTTGCACCTATTTGTTTAGAGTCCAGCAAAATGAGCGAGTTGGACACTGACGAACCAGTGATTGAATCCGAAATAATTAATTTTGTTTCATTTACCTCTGATGATCAAGAGGAGAAATTTTGCTCAGTGGTTTCAGATGCAATTATTCCACATGTGGTGTCTCCTGCATCAAAGGGTGACATAGCAGAAGTAAGCATGCCTCTTGCTCAATTGCAGGATATGCCTTCTGTTTCCATGCCCCAACCCTTATATAGTAGCAAAGGAGACATGCCTGATAAGCTGTTGTGGAGCTGTGGTGGGGAAAATGTACAAAACCAAACTCTGACATGCATGGAATCCATCTTTCCAAAACTAAAGGAATCTGGAAAAGTGGGGGGTTCAGGTGACAGTGAATTGTACAGTCTCAAGAATCAGATGCAGACATCCATAGATAAACTAACAAAGACAGAGGAAGAAAAGAATGAGGATAAATGTGAAGTTGAAAATAAGTTGGCTTCAGAAGAAACTGACAAATCTTCAGAACACCTGGTAAGTACAGACAAAATTGTTCCAAGTCTTTAAGCAGCAATTTTTGAAATTTTGTAAATATTATATTTTAGCTTAATAAGTTGAAAATTTATACTTTGCAATAGTCTTTTGCCAAAAAATATCTAAACTTCTGACTAAAATGTAAACTGTATTGTATATATCTGATTGTGTAAAATATTTCTTTTTCAGTCTTGGACTTCCAGCCATTAAAAATGGATTTCTCATCCGTAGTATGTGTTTCGGCTATGGTTTGGTTTTTTTTAAATTATTATTTCTATAAAACTGTGACTACTTTTTACATTTTTCTTTGACTTTTTATGGTTTCTGATTTATACAGCTTTTGTAAATAACATTCCAAGTGCAACACTGACGCAAGGACAGTTGTTCAGGACTTGAGAAAAAAAGAAGGCTCTTGCTGAACCATTTAAGCAGAAAGTTTCTTTGAAACGTTTTATATGTTTCATTGCACAAAATGTAAAATGCATGAAAAGTGTTCTGCATTTTTCATCATGCAGAAGATTGTTCTGCATTTTTTACTTGTTATCTTGTTGAACTACACCTGTAATCAAGACTGTGATGCCATATTGTATAAAATCCTGTGTGGATGCCATCTCACTGAGCAAAGGAGAAATATCTATCAACTCACTTTTGGAGAAAGAAAATCTTTGGTAAGGCTGTGGCCCATCAATTGGACTCTGCATATTGAGGTCACTTGCATGATTTAAAAATCACATTTTATTTTACTACATTGTGGTACAGTAACTGTTTGTGTTAAATTGTTTAGCAGTTGCCTAACTCAGAAGAAATGGAAGATCTGAATTTTGCTCTCTGGATTGGATTTCCATCATATAACCAGACATTACATGCCTGAATGAATCCGAGCTACAAAAATACTGTTGTGTGAAGGTTTTCAGTTATACAACTTGTCAAGAAACGCAGTGATGTTTGCATGGATTTATCTAAAAGGTTATATCTGTAAATCTAAAATAAACCTATGAAGATCTGCGATATGATAAATATTATTTCTGTGTCTTTTTTATGTCTACTTCTATAAGTAGTGTTTGGATTCTGTGGTTGAAATAAAGCTGATGAAAATCTTCCTTAAGTTTTTCATCTTTCAAATTCATCTGATCAGCTTCTTAAGAGAAAACTTTGCTTAAACATTGCAAAGAATTATATACTTTCCATTTTAAAATAAAACTTTAAAGGTAAACTTGCTTTGAATTTTAAATATACTTGTTCATCGTACAAGATCAGTGTGCATAGGAGATGTGAAATACTTTGTAAATACAAGAAAAAATATACTTCAGTGGAAATAAAATGGCAATATTAGAAATCATTTCTTGTGAATATATAATCCCCTAAATTATGAAGTGTTGCTAAATCTAGTGCTTTACTAACAACTTTCTTTTTGTCTTGACTCCTGGTACCTACATGAATAAGTCTTTGTAGTTTTCATAGCAACATTTTTGAAAAATGATTTATTGACCTATTCCTAGAGCTAAGAGAGAATGACTGGCCCAAAGTCTTCTAGCTGGCTTTATGCCTAAGCAGTAAGAGAATAAATGGTTTTCTAATTTCAAGATCAAGAAGAATTTAGATTTCCAGTTAGCAACCTGGGGCGATCAAAATTGCACAGGGTAATAATGATAGAAATTATCAGATGTAGGATAGCATAAAGTCAGAAATTTAGCTAAGATGTAATTGTCTGTTTGTATCAAGGTAATTAGGAATTACATGGCCAGCTCTATTGGTTTAATAGTACAATTGTTGAACATGTCTATATAAAATGTACTAATGTAACAAATATTTATATATCCTGCTTAATCCAGCAAAATTCAAAATAATTTACAAATTATAATAATGTAGCAATAATGATAGCAAAACAAAATTACAACATGAGATGTTATGGCTTGCACCCCACATACTAGGTCAACTTGTTAAGCATGGAATGCAAGTAAGTAAAGGGATGTAAAACTGTTCATCTTTTACTGTTTTGTTGCATACTGCTGATGGTTTAAGGCAGGGGTGTCAAACTCATGGCATCACATCACATATCATGACTTTTTTCTCCTTCACTAAACCGGGGGTGGGCGTGGCCAGCGTGTCATGCATCTGGGGTGCAGTTTTGACATTCTTGATTTAAGGGGTTGAGAAGCATGTTTAATATACAATGTTCTAATAAAATAATTAATTACATTCCCTAGGATTATCCTACCAAGGTACAATCTTTTCTTCTCCCTTCAGTAACTTTTTGTAACTTTTACAATAAGGCTATAAAGCATATTAGATTAAGAAATGGCAACTGGCTCAAGGCTAGGCATTGAGCTTTATAGGTCCTCAGTCCAGGACTGCATTCATTACATAAAACCGGGTCTCATAATTTCTCTTATTCTGGATCAGATTATTTTAGCAATCTCTTTCTCAATATATAACAGACCCCCACTCAGTAACCTTTACATAAATCATTAAGATTTTGCTGTCTCCCCATGCATTCAAGGTCAGTTGAGCGGGAGTCTCCCTGTTTTGCTGTGTGGTAGCCATTTTATAGTTTGTATTTATGTATAGTTAGCTTTTGTTTTAAGGGTGTTTTTTATTTATTGTATGCTTTTATTATTTGTGAGTTGGGAGGCTTTATACATTTTAAAAATAAATAATCCTGATTAAGGTCTCCCAAGATTCTGAGCAGAATTCCTACGCATTCTATTATATATTATAAGCAAGCAAGCTTCAAGAGGAAAATAATCCTCTTTTAGTCCATAAGCCAGGGATGAATATAGTTGCAAAGAAACAAGTATGGATAATAAGCAGTAACTGTAGATAGAAAGGTCAATAAGAACAACTAGAAAAATTCGTAAATAAGAAATACTTTTAAATGGACAATGTAGAAAAAAAATAGTGTTGGCGGAAATTGGTGCTATATCAAAATATTTGAGAAAGTGATCGGATACAATATGGGCAGAATCTCAGCTCATCGATTACAAAAAAGTAGCATTGCTTGGAAAAGTGCATATATTGAACAATATCCTAGATGGGAAGTATTCAATAGTCAAAAGTATCAAGTATAATCAGAACCATTACCTTAGGTTGCTTGTAAACATTAAAACTACAATTTTATTGACATCACAATCAATATTATTTACACAACATTGTTGATTGTGGTGTCAACAGAATTGTAGTTTAAATATTTACAAGTAACCTAAATCAACTAGTATTGAAAACATGGCTAAGATTTGATTCTGCATTTAATGGATAAGCTTATATTTAATAATTGGAAGAGATTACCTTTGTATGCAAATGAAGAATGTGTGAAATTGTATAACTGGGGACAATTTTAAAATGTTCTAAACTCTCTATTATTTTAGAAACTTCAAGAACAATGCAAAAGAAATTATTGCTGTCTATTCGGGTAACAGTAGTGATTTTACAGATAATTTTTGCCTTGTCTTCTGAATGTTGAAAATTTGCAGGGACCCTTGCTTCAAATATCTTAACAAAAATAAATGTAACTGCTTAAAATTCTTTAGCCCCCCTTTATTTCAAAATAGTTGTGCTAGTGGTTGACCTGAAACAGATGTTTCAAGATAACATTTTCTCATATGGAATTTAGATTATACTTTTGTGTAGGTTCAGCCTTATATGATCTTAACTTTCAAAGTAACTAAACATGAAATGAAGTGGAGAAATCCTTTCCTCTTTCATCCATCATGCACACAACCAACTTGAACAGCTGAAAGCAAAATGTTGCTCCTCTGATAGCCAGCTTCAGCTGCTTATATCTTTCTCCTTTATTGAAGTGGTTGCAAGTGTTAATTCCCCAAGGTCTGGTTTAAGGCACTATTCATATTTTCCAAAGTGAAAAACAGCAGGAAGGCTCAACTTCCAGATTTTCATAGTTGAAAGTGAAGAGGGAAGGGCTCATCATCGACATTCTGGAGGGATTAATATGACAAACTGATTTCCCTCCTTATTTTAAGTGTTAGACCAGATTGCAAATACATTTAGAATGTGTAAAAATGATCATGGAGATTACTCAAATGACAAGCTACACATAGGCAGTGTTGCTAACGCCACACAGTTTCAAGCAACAGATATCTAAACTTCTAACTTTGGAACATTGCACAAGATCAGGCTTTACTTGAGGCATGTCACACTGAACTCTTATTCTTACTGTACCATTATTGTTTTCTTGCATTGAGCTTGCTGCATGAGAGTGTTATGGAAAATTCTGTTATAGAAAATAAGTTCTGTACAGTGGCATTGCTCATCCTGTATAATGTTTTGAGCGAGAGGGAGAACTTTACAAAATAATGATAGCTGGTACTAAATCTCTACATGCTGTGTTACATGCTGGAAAAAAATATCAAGCTATATGCATATCACTCTCCATGTTAACAATGTTATTGCTATTCAACAAGGTAAACACTTATGCTTGAGAAACTCTTAGAAGTGGGTAATAATCAACTGTTTGAAAATCACTAAATTGAAAAAAAATAGCTGAAGAAATGCACATCAGAAGTCTTATACTTACCCACTGAAGTAATGAACATCTAAAAATATGATTTCTCCCTCAAACATTACGTTTTCACAGTAATAGTTCAAAATGTAAGAAGCTCAGGTTTCCAAGACAATTTGACAGAAATCTGGATTCTGATGAATAAATCTGAGCATAAATACACAAATTTTCTGTACTGTAACTACTGGGAACTTGTTTTCTTCATTAATTTGTATTTATATTTCTCTACATTTTGTAGAAAATAAGATATTGAAAGGATTGTGCAAGTAAGAAAAATGTTTAATTGAAGCAATTATGGAATGTCATGCTCAGATTGTTCGTTTTTACCATAGTATGTGCATTTAAAGGCATTTAAATTTCCATCAATCTCAGAAATTGAAATTATTTTTTTTTAAATTCAGAGAAATAGATTGATTAAGAAATTATCCCTTTTGGTTAGTAGCAATAATGTTTCATAATTAATAAGGTAATTTTGGTTCTGATTGAATTTTTTCTCTCCTACTATATTATAGGAGCTTTAATATTTATTTTTTATTAATTATTATTTAAACTTTTATTCTGCCCATAATATAGTAATAGAACTGTGTATGTGTATGTAAAAATGTTTTAGAAAGTCATTGCAATAAAACAGTGATCTTGCTAATTCTGTGGAATTTACCAGTAACTCATGGAACTGAAAATACTTAATTATCAGATTCATAACCTTAAAATAATTCTGTGTGGATCAGCTAATTCAGATCTGAACCTTCAGACAAGATCATTTGTAGGGATAGATGATGGGACTTCAGTCTTAATTGAAGGTAAGTTCAATTAAGCTCAATTTGAATAAATACTTTAGATAATAACATTCCATAGTACCTGTTTTTCTTTTCATCTTACTGTTGATCTGTGAGAGGTTATATTCTGTAAAATTCTGTTTCTAGTTAAGACATAGCTGTGGTGAAAGCAACACATTAGTTTTGCAAGAACTTTGATAGGTCTAATGAAAGAATTGTAGGACCATGGGAACCTTTACCTTGTCTGGCATTTACAGACAGACAGAAGACATTCAGAGACAGAAAAGAAAGAAAAAGAAAGATGAGGATCAGGCTTGTGTGTGTATAAAAAGTTCAGGACCATTTCTAGGCCCCTCTCTGTTGCTGGCCACCATGGTATATATACAATGATAAACAAAAACAATTTATACTATTCCATTAATATTTGCTCAACGTAACATCTCAATTCATTTTTAAAACTCTTACTGCTAAATATTAGTCATTACAAATATTTCTAGAAAATACAAAAAAGATCTTGAAAAATAATGCAAAGTGCAACTCAATTTATAATGTCCAAGATAGACTTAATTCCTCTCATTTTTATTTTTTACTGAGGCAGTTCTTAATTTTCTATGATTACTTGAATTGGTGGGTTTTAATGGTATTAAGGTTTTGCTTTTATAACTTGATTTGATGCAGACATTTTCCCCCTGACATCATTTGTATGGGAGAAAACATGGAGCAAAGAATTTTATATGAGCTGTATATTAAGATAAAGAGATGTAGATATTGCAGAAAATGTTTTATAGCCTGATCCTAGAATCTTCAATATTATTATAGATTATATGTTTATTGCTATGTCTTAAGTTCATTAAAATTATTATAAAATTACCCTCGTGCCTGGCTGCTCTGTCAACTGTTCTGTTTAGGATTGTCAGTAGCTCTTTGATAGTTCAATAATTCCTCAAGATATCATTTATAAAATATATATACTTCCCAACTCTAGCACTGAAATTTATATGGAGTCTGGCAAGGTGGCTAATAAGACAATTACTTAAGTAATACTTTATTGGAAACACAAAATACTTTGTCATTTGTCTGTGGAAAGCATAGAGGAAATACAAATATCTTGAAATTTATTTACCTCACTTTCCCTCGTTGAGATTCTTAAAGATAACCCAGCAGAAATAATGGATGGGTGTCATTCTGCATTTTGAGATAGAAACAGTTATGCCTGACATGAAAAATGTTAACTGATTTGGAGCCCTGTTCAGGTTGCATATCAATTACCGTAGGTTGCTTACATAGATGTGCCTACAATTGCTTTGGGTGGATGGGTAGTGGGCAATTGAAAGCACTGTAAGTATTTCTATGGTGGATACCAGCTTCCCTCTTATATGTCCATTTAACACTTCAGCTATATTAATAAACACTCAAAACTTTTCAGTCAAGAAAAGCAAAGCCTCAAAAAAAAATCTACCTCGTGTAAAGCCTTGGAAATAGTGCCATGATTTTTTTGGATCTATAAAAGTAAGGTTCTACATTTAGGCAAGAAAAATGAAATGCACAGATACAGTATAGGTGGTACCTTGCTCAATAGTAGTAACTGAGAGGGATCTTGGATCCTAGTGGACAGCCATTTAAATATGAGCCAGCAGTTTGCAACAGCTGCCAAAAAAGCCAACACAGTTCTAGGCTGCATAGAAGGATAGAATCAAGATCACATGAAGTGTTAATACCACTTTATAATGCCTTGGTAAGGCCACACTTGGAATACTGCATTCAGTTTTGGTCGCCACAATATAGAAAAGATGTGGAGATTCTAGAAAGTTCAGAGAAGAGCAACAAAGATGATTAGGGGACTGGAGACTAAAACATGAAGAATGGTTG